CTTTCCCTCTATCTCCATTCTCTTCGATCTCCAATCTCCAATCCCATTTTGATTTCGCCGACATAGAAGATCATTTGATTAGTTATCTCAATTTCTATGAGATTATCTTCTATTTTATTTTTTTCTCCTCCTTTCTTATGTTCAGTTTTTGAAAATTTTCAACCAGTTTTTGCTTAAATTGCTTCAGATTCCATAGTGGGATTGATAAGATTTGTATATGTCTCATGATCTGCATTGTTTGTTTTTGTATAATTGACACATATATGTAAGTACTTCTGTGTTATTTAGGTGTGATGAGATATATAAATTATTGTTGTATATTTTAGAGTAAAGTTGACAATAAATCTTTCAAGAGATTCATATTTATATGTATTAGGAATATGGTATAGGAGTTAAGTGTTCGTAAATGATATAATGTGAATCAATAAAACATGTATCTGTTTTGGCAATAAAATGCACCAGGGGTACCTCGGTCTGAGTCAGTCGTAACTCAGACCGCGACTAAGGCAGTGGTAACTCAACGAAAGTCACTTGTAACTCAGTCCGAGTCAGTTTTCTAAAAACGAAAAATATGCGATTCTTTGCATGAAAACTGCCACATTTTACATCTTTTGATGATGTCTTTTAGTGTTTATAAACTAAATACGTCAGAATAAGTGGTGTACGAATAGAGATTAATTCTTTGAGGGATTTTGAGTGTTCTTTTTTATGGTTCTTGCAAACTCAATCAAAAAAGGTTGTGTTCATCTTCATAAACAAGTTTTCGTATGATGATTCTCGGAAGGGTAAACCGAAATCATTGAAACTTCATTGTATCTCAAAAGTGTATTCCTGTAATCCCATTTATCCGGTAGGGATAGAATAACAATTTTAGAAAAGTGATTACACGCCTTGAAGCCATATCCGAATTCCCTACTATTCATACGTGTTACAGGCTCGAAGTCATATCCAGATTCCCGATTACAGAAGATACGAGGTTGAAGACTTATATCGTATTGGGTATGTGTTTTCGTTATTAATTTTGAATTTTCTCCAACAATCTAAAAGCGTTATATGGGCTCTACGACTTCAACGGTTTTTTTATAATAAAACAAAAATATACTGAAAGTCTCGAGTTAAATCCTGGATAGAAAACTGATCGGGTTTATGATCGGTGGATATCGGATTTCAACGGTTCAAGTTGAAGATATCGGAGATTTCTCTAACATGTAATTTGGACATAAAGAGGATGCTTTATGTTGCTTGTGTCTTGTTGGTTGAAAAACTAACGAGAAATATTTATTCGGTATGTAGATAATTTTCGGTTGGAAAAATGATCATATATTATAGTTTGGTCTAAACTATAATGTTAAATTATTTCGGGAGAAGGAAGATTTTGTTGTGGAATATTAACCACGAAGAAGATGGTTAATCTTCGGAAAAGAGATTGATATGTTTATATTTCATGGATTAACTTGGTGAGAAGTTATTATGAGATATGAGCTGAATAGAAGTGAGACATAACTAAAATATCAGTGAGATGTAACTGAAAACCAGTGAGTTATAGCTGCGAATAATAATAAACGTTACCATTATGGAAAATGGTATGAATTCTTATTGTATAATGATATAAAAGTATACATGTTAAATCATAGCTATGTGAAAAAATGTTTGTATGTCGGTTATTTTTTGGTAAGGAAAAACGATTGACGAAAATTGTCAATGTTATTATGCACAAAATGATTTAGGGATGAGAACAAAACCTTAACGTTAATCACAAATAAAAGGATCTCTACTCAACATCTAATACAACGTTAGATCTTGAGTTCAAAGAGTTAAACCTTTTATTATTGTGATTGAAAGCACACAAATAAAAATCATCCCAAGGTTGGTGCTTTGAATATGCAACGTAAAGGAGGTTGAAAGTTCTCCTTAATAGATCTTTTAAGAAAAATGTCGAGTTGCACGACATGATCTTCTTTAAAAGGTCTACCTATGTGAATGCGAAGTTTGGTCGCTTCAAAATGCTTTATGGCTTGACATCTATGCATTTGATGTTGCAAATCTAGATGTATAAATTTGATCAAGTAATAATATCCTAGACAACAATTAACCGTAAGTGTACGAATCATATGTAGTAGCCAGGGTCGAATACAATGACAAATAAACAACGAAATCAAATCTAATTCCAAGTCTAATTCCAAAAGGAATAATAGGGTGTGAGAACGTGGTAAGGTAAATAGTAAAAACGACTGTAAACTATGAATGATAAATACTTTAGGCTTCGTGATTGCTTTACATGCAAGGATCTCTTCTAAAGATGCAAATTCAGTGGTTTATAAATCCAATTCAGGGAATTCAAGATCTAAAGTAGAGATTAACCCTCTGAGTCTAATCTCACTATCTAAACTTTATCCTACTAATCTCTCGATTCAATAGTTTAAAATCCTGTATGCATGAACGAACGCTATCATAATCCCTAGGCAAATATCCATCTCTCGATGCAATACATGTTCTATTTATTGAGTTATTTCCAGATTAGAATCTCATATGTGTCTATGCGAATTAAAACCCTAAGTTCATTCAATTAAGTGACCAACAAGATCAAACGCATTAAAATCAACTCAATAAACCAAATAGAATAAATAAATCCATATAGTCTTGAATTAAAAACCAAAGATCCCTACATAGCAAATCCCTAACCTACAGTAACGGAACTACTCGCTAAACATCGAGAGGTCATGGTTCATATCAATAATACAAAACATCGTAAAATAGAAGAAAGGAAGAATGCTTAGTCGATTTCCCGGCTTCATAATCTCCGCCTTCTACTCCGATCTCTTGCCTCTTGATAATCGCTCCCTTTTGTGTGCTCTAAGGTGTATTTTCTGTCAAAGTATGAATATTTTCGACCTGGAGGCTAACTCTAGTTATTTCCTCTTTTTTTTGGGCAAATTTGGAAGATTTCCGGAATTTAAGTGACCCGATCGTGTCGGTAATAAGTGACACGATCGTGCCACATCGCAGTTTTAATGGACTTCACGAATTTGCTCATAACTTCCTGCTTCGATATTAGATTTGGGTGATCTTGGTGACTATGCATAGATATCAAAAATATCTTTCTAATGATATAGAGAATGCTTGATTTAGACTCGTATAGTGAAAGTTATTGGACTTGCAAGATCTGTATTTTCTAAGCTTTACGTTTTCTCCGAAACAACTCCAAATGTTCCCGGTTCGTCCGTGATGTTCCGTAATCCATGTTTTCCACTCCTTTTGCTCTCTTTATGTGTGGATTCTTGTTTAAACACCAAAGAACACAACCAACCAATATCGAAACCAAATGTGCCATTGAATGTCTACGAATATGTAAAATCGAGTGAAATACGCTAGACATCCTATATCAAAACATCACACAAAATACGTGTTATCAAACTCCTCCAGACTTAAACCTGTGCTCGTCCTCGAGCAAATACTCCGTGAAAAATGGTCTGAAAGGAGGGCGAGATAATGACATAACTCAAAATGATAATCGAGAGCGAAACATCTATCCGACCTAGATCTCTGTGAACAATAATCAAGTCTATCTAGTATGATCTCTCTCTCTAAAGGATAATCTTTCCTAACCATGGGATCTATACCGTTACTTAGAACCAATCCAAGAACTTCTATCATCTATCAAGTATGTTTCTCGAACCTATTACACCGTTCTACTTAATCGTATCTAGTCTACGCTTTCGACATTCATTCTTTTTTTTTTTCTAGCTAGATTTATTTTCTTTCTTTCTTTTGCTAGCATCTCGGGGTTCCTAGGACGTTGAAGTTGAAGGGTTCCTAATCGTTTTTTTTTCATTTTGTTTATTAGATAACCTAACCTAGGGGTGGGCGTTTCAACCCGTAACCCGGGGGTTTGGGGGTACCCGGCTTAACAAGTACCCGGAGAAAGGGTACCCGGATATTAACGATGATGAGACCGGGTTTAACGAGGCCGAGTTTTTGACCCCCGGGTCCGGATTCGGATTTCGATTAACTCTTAACGGGTACCCCGGGTACCCGGTATATTAATTAAAAATTAAAAATATCTTTATATTTATAACATTTATCTAAGGTATTTTATTATTTATTAAAATCTTAGATAAATGTTATAAATATAAAGATATTTTTAATTTTTAATTAATATACCGGGTACCCGGGGTACCCGTTAAGAGTTAATCGAAATCCGAATCCGGACCCGGGGGTCAAAAACTCGGCCTCGTTAAACCCGGTCTCATCATCGTTAATATCCGGGTACCCTTTCTCCGGGTACTTGTTAAGCCGGGTACCCCAAACCCCCGTGTTACAGATTGAAACGTCCACCCCTAAACAGAAAATAGAAATTGAAAACAGATAAGTTTTGCTATTCCAATAAAAAGAAATAGAAAAATTTTCACCGTGAGAATATCGATTTTTATAGAATGATCTACTAGTTTTCTTAAAAATGTATATTTGCAAAATATATTTTTTTTCCTCGATAATTTTTTTATATGGATTTTTAGATAAGTTTTATGCTTATTCTGATCATTTTCCTTTTCATTTTCATTCATAATCAACAAAATGCTAATATATCATTTTGTACCTATTAAAATGCAACATAAGAAGAAACAAATTTGTATGATAATCAACATAAAAAGAAACAAATTTATGAAAATCTCGTTAGCGTATCTTTTCGATTTTCATGCTAAGGTTCCTTCATCTATAAATTGAGGACATGAAGAAGGAGATAGCTCCAACACATAAAAGTTTATTTTCTTCAAGGATTTTTTTTTATAAAAAAAAAGTCAAAATACAAATATACAAGAAAGAAATGGCCAGTGGACAGACGAACTTCTCAAAGGTCTTGGCCATGGGGGTCATGATCTGGTTAACACTGGCCGTAGCCCCGGCTTCGGCACAATGCGGGCTGTCCCTTCCAGATCTCGTGGCCAAGTGCGAGCAATTCGTGATGGGCGGTGGACCGAAGGTGCCGCCTTCCGCCGAATGCTGCGGTGCCGTGAAAGGAGCGAACGTGCCTTGCGTATGCAGTCTCGTGACTCCGAGCCTCGAAAAGCTCGTCAACGTAGAGAAAGTTGTCTATGTTGCAAGGACTTGCGGCCTCACGGTTCCAGCCGGCATGAAATGTGGAAGTATACATCTTCTCTTTCCCCTTCCTTGTTTTTTTCACCTTTCGCATTCTAACGAAAATTTTTACATGGTAAATACTAATACACGAAATTATTACCTACACTCTAATATTCCAAACAAAAAAAAAACCACAAACTTTATATTTATAAGCGGATGCACGATTTTTTTTTTGTCAAATTGTGGTTAAAAATAATGAATTTTACATGTTCTAACAAGATCCCAAAAAACTATACATCAATTAAGAAACAACTTAAATTATTTTGTAAAATTCAATGTGAAGTAGGTTAAAAAAATCGCGTATGTTTTTTTGAGAAATTATTTACAAAATTGGCGTATTATAGCATGATAGTTAATAACAAATACATGTATTTATATGTATGGGATATTTTGTTCTTTTAAACATATGAATTCATATTCATAAAAACATTTGCCATGACAGTTTACTAGTTCAAGTTTCTTTATGCATCATTCTATCTAGTTATCAGCCATATTTTTCATAAGTTTCATGCGCACGAAAATTTGAAATATTTTTTGTTTATTTATGTATAATCATAAACATATTTATCATAAATAATTCGAAAATGTTTTCGTTTTGCAGGTTACACCGTTCCACCGCAGTAACATGAGAGAGTGCATTTCAGGGAATAAAACACACATGTCCAATTATTCCGACCAATGCTGTATCCACTCTCAAAGATGAATAAATTATATATTTTTGCTAAAATCGCTTATTTTTCATTATTCCCTAATAACACAAAAGTTGCATATTAATGCAATTATTGCAATTAACATTATCGGTTATAATGTCAATAAATAATTAATATTTTAGTAATTGGCATGTCAACATGATTCTATCACATCATCTCACCCTTTTCGTCTCAAAATAATACGGATGGAGAAAGAGAAAATTCTTAATAAATTCAGCAAATTAAAGTTTTATGACAGATGTTACTCCATCCGTTTCAAAATATTTGTTGTTTTAGATTGTTTCACAATTTTTAAGAAAATAGATAAAAAATCACATATACCTATATACCTTTATTTGATGATAAAAATAATGCAATCATTAATAATATATTAGAATTTGGTAGAGATAAAATTGGAAACTATTATTAAAAAAATGTATTGAAAATGTAAAACTACAAATATTTTGAAATATAGAAAATAACCTAAAACTACAAATATTTTGAAATGGATAGAGTATTATATTCCAATTTGAACACTTGAAAATTGTGTAATCAGATCTTCTTATCGATGAAATTGTTTCCATATATAGAAATAAATCCTTGCAATACAAAGTTAGAAAGAAAAAAAAAATCCAATACAGGGCCTTGCAGATGGAGACAAGCAACACAAAAAATAGAAAATTGAAAACAAATAAGTCTTGCTATTTCAATAAAAGAAATATAAAAAACTTTTGCCGTGAGAATATCGATCTTTATTAGTTTTCTTTACAAAAAATTACATATTTATAGAATACATTTTCCTTTTCCTTTCTCATTCATTTTTTTTAAAACTATTTAAATGCAACATAATAAGAAACAAAATATTTACGATAATCAAACATAAAAAGAAACAAAATTTTATGAAAATGCCAGTAACGTATCTTTTTCGGTCCATGATAAGGATCCTTCATCTATAAATCGGGAACGCGGAGAAGAAGACAACTCACTCACATCAAACTTCATTTTTTTCAAGGAAAAACAAATGGAAATAAAAATATACAAGAAAGAAATGGCGAGTGGACAGACGGACCTCTCAAAGCCCGTATGGCCATGGGGATCATGATCTGGTTAGCATTGGTCGAGTCGTAGTCTGGGCCTCGGCACAATATGCGTGCTGGCCAATCCGTGAAGCCTGGTGGAGCGAAAGTGCCGTCTCCTTCTGACGATTGTTGCGGCGCCGTGAAATGATTGGACCTGCCTTGCGTGTATGCAAACGCATGACTCCGTCCGGGCATCGAAAAGCTCGTTAGCATGGAGAAAGTTGTCTTTGTTGCAAGAACGTGCGCGGCCAGGGTTCAACGCGGCATAAAATGTGGAAGTATGCATATTTCTCTTTCTCTTTCTCGCATCTCTAACCAAAATTTATATAAATACACGAGTTTTTTAATCTAAATTCTAAATATCATAAAAATATATAAAAACTTTAAAATTTATACAAAAAATAATAAAAAGTGAATTTTATCGTACTTTAAAAAGATACACGAAATATTACAATTTGTTTTTTAAAATGACACAGTCAATTAATAAAGGATGTTAAATCTTTATAAAATTCATGATTTTAAATTAAGAATAGATAACCAGTATCTTATTTTTTTTTAGATTTTTTTTTTTAAATCGTGTATCATAACGGTAGTTAATAACAAACACATGGGTTTATATGGGATATTTTGTTCTTTTAAACATATGTATTAGTATTCCTTTTTTTTTTGTTAAAATATGTATTAGTATTCATAAAAATATTTGCCATGATAGTTTACTGGTTCGAGTTTCTTTAAGCATGATATATTCACGTGGTCATTATAGTTAGAGATAATCCAATCTAGTTGTCACCCATATATTTCATAAGTTCATACGCCCAAAAAAATTGATATATTTTTTGTATATATTTATCATAAATAATTCGAAATGTTATTGTTGAGTGCATTTCAAGGAATAAAACACATATATCCAATGATTTCGACCAATGTTGTATCTAGCAACTACTATATTTTTGTTCAAATGATTTATTTTTCCATGATGCCCAAATAACACAAAAATTGCATATTAATGCAAACATTATCGATTATAATGTCAAATATATAATTAACCTTTTAGTAATTGGCATGTCAACATGATTCGATTACATCATGTCACCTTTTTTATCTTAAAAAATGCGGATGGAGAGAGAGAAAATTCCTTAACTTCGAGTATATGATCGATTATTATAAAAGATCTGTTGATCAAATTAATTTAAAAGTAAAAAAAATAATATTTTAATAATATTCAATTAATTTATTAACTATCCATAATTTCAAATCAAATTTCATATTTTATAAGGATGGTTTTAATTTTCATAAAATAAGAGAAAATAAAGATGATTCGTCCATCGGTATAAAAATGTATTTATATTTGATATTTTCAAATGATTAAAAATATATTTTTTCTAGAACGGGGAAAAAATGGTGTACATCCACAAATTAAATGGATGAAATGAGGGTTTTTATTGATTCACTTAGAACTAAATTCTTGGAAAAATCCAAAACAATACCCAAACTTTTTAATTTTCTCATAAAAAATCTGAACTTTTATTTTTGCTAAATAAAAACTAAACCCAACGGATAACGTGATATCCCGATATCATATGTATCAATTTATGATTTGATCGAATCATATACGTCATCATTACTCAATCAAAGTTACAAATTTCCACGTCACTAATTGAGTTTAAAATAACAAATTTTATAAAATTTTTTACTCAGTCAAGTTTTTTTAAGTTCGTATTTTATTTAAAAAAATAGAGTTTAGGTTATTTTATAGAAAAATTGAAAAGTTAAAAGGTATTTTTTGTGTGATTTCCCTAAATTTTTTAAACGACGGAGTGGTGGCTAAAAAAACGGGTCGGACTGGTACCCGTTTACAACCCGGAAACAGAGTCATTACTAATTCTACGGACAGGGGGTTCGACTCAAAAACCCTCCCAAATTCTCTCCGTCATCTCCTTTCCACCGGGAAGAATGAGCAATTGGAAGACCCTTCTCCTTCGAATCGGCGAAAATGGTCCGGAATACGGCACCTCTTCGGACGCCAAAGAACATATCGTCAGTTCTCTCTCTCTCTCTCTCTCTAAAAATCGTCGTTTCCTACACCCTAATTTCACTACCTGGGTACCTTTGTTTCTACCTTGGTTGTTTATTAATGGCGGTTGCTTGATACTTGCTGTTGATCTTTTGAGTTGTGTGTGTGTGTGTGTGCGTTTTTCGTTTCCTGAACTTTTCTGTTTACGAATGCGCAGGAGACATGTTTTGGTGTTATAAGAAGAGAAATTGACCGTTCTGGGGATGAAGTATTGTCTGTAAGTCCCCATGATGTCCGAAAATATAACCAGCAATAGTAGTGATCAAGATTTGTGTTTCTATTGAGTGGGTCGTGTAGCCTGTGCTGTGATTTTTGTGATACCTATTCCTTTTCTGTTGAGCCTGCATTTGAACAGCATAGATTCAAATTTTCTAGTCTTTATCAGATTCTTATCTAGCTTTCGTGTTGTCCTATGCTATGCGGGATTCTCCTGTTTAGTTTGCAATGAGTAAACATTACAGAGTTTCTAGCCTTGTACCGTCATAAGTGTTGCTTCTTATCCTTAGGGTTGTTTGTTCCCCCTGTGGGAGATATTAAGCTCTTGGAAGCGAAGACTTATATCCTTGTATCTGCATTTCCTTATTTCTCTAGAAACATAATTAGTACTAATGCTTAGGTGTATCCCAATCGGCTATTATAATTTTTACCTCGAAACTCGTTTTTTTCTGCATTCCAAGAGTTCTCACTATTTGGGCCTACTGTTCTTTTCTTTTTTTGGGGCCAGTTTCTTCTCCAATGTGCCGAACAATTGCCTCACAAGATTCCCCTATATGCGACTTTGGTAAGTGCCTTTTTCAACGAATTTGTGTGTCCATTATATGACTTTGCATTTTGAAAGCTTTCATTTATTGTAATATGTGTGGGTATGTAATTATGTATTAGACTTATTAGTACTGACCGGACCAGTTTTTACTTGGACTAAGATTTTCTGTCGAGGCTCTAGCTTTCTTTGACAAAGGCGCACACAAATATGTGGAGTCTGGATCTATATACTGTATGTGGATTTTGATACATATGAAATATAGTAATGGCACAGATGCAATAATCAAGAGATAACTTGGGAGCAATGCTCATTCGGAAATCTTAAGACTGATGAAATCCTCCTTAAGGTGGGATGTTTTATTTCTAGCATGTTGGGTAATATAGATATCCACTTCACTCAATGTGGTACTGACTAGTGTTGTTTTCCAGCCGTCAGATGTAAAATTTCCTGTTTCTGTGTTCTGAAGAAACCCCCTTTGATATTTTTATAGCATAAATTTCTTGAGTTTGGATTAAATTATTGTTGCATCTATATGAGTATGCTTGTGGATGGACACAGCAGCATGTTGTGGTTCCCCTTTCCTACTTTTGATATTAATGATTCTGGACTGAACTAATTCATATATACCCTATTCCCCATAGAACCCAGCGCAATTCGTAACGAGGATTAGTTTCCGAATGATTTTGTGAGATCTCACTGCACATATTTCAGGTTGGTTTGTTGAACTTGGAGAATGAAGATTTTGTGAAGAAGATGGTGGAAAGTATCCAAACTGAATTCCAGGCGAGTAAATTGTCTTTATTCATGATTGAAGAGAACTTTTGGTTGTCATATGAGCAAAATAGCAGTTGGTGTGGCTGTTTTTTTTTTTTTTGTAATATGACTGCTTTTGCTGTGATTAAAACTTCAGGCTGCTTTAGATTCTGGCAATTGTGACAAGATCCGTATATTGTTGCGCTTTCTGACTGCCCTGGTACGTTTACTAGCCTTAGTGCACTTTTATTTGTTGAATTGGATAGGCTGTGTTATGACATTCATGTGCCAAAGCTTGGGAACAATTGGAAACTATGAAGCATCTAAAGATGCATACTAGTGGTTCTAGTGCAGAACATTTTGAGGTGTTTTTAAAAAAAATAAGTTTATAACATGTTTTATTTGGTCTCTTTAGCTGTCCAGTAAGGTTCTTCAACCTGGTTCTGTGGTTGTTGTGTTTGAGACTCTGCTATCATCTGCTGCCACGACTGTGGATGAAGAGAAAGCAAACCCATCGTGGCAGGCCCAGGCGGACTTTTATGTAGTATGCATCTTGTCCAGTCTTCCATGGGGAGGAGCTGAACTTGCCGAGGTACTCCTCTGCTTTATTACATCTGGGAAGTTGTCGATAGATTTAAATCTGTTTATGTTCAGAAACATATGCTTCCAACTATTTAATGATGTTGATATAATTGCTTTTGGATTCATGTGTCAGTATTCTATCAGAGTTTTATTAACTTCAATTTTCATTCTAGAAAGACTACTAGTTTAGTTTTATTTTGGTTTGCATAGCATTGGTTGCACAACTGGTTACTTCTTTTTATATTTACTCGCTATAATATCACTTTTATGTTTGCTTTTATTTGTATCTTATTTTTCCTTTCACAACTTCTTTCAGCAAGTTCCTGATGAGATGGAAAGAATCATAGTTGGGATACAAGCCTATCTAAGCATTCGAAAGCATTCATCTGACTCTGGGTTATCCTTCTTCCAAAATGATGATGAGTCTGGAAACAGTCTGGCAGAGAAGGTTTGGTTCCTTTTAAGCATATGATTCTGGAAATTTGGTTGCTTTTTCTTTTTGTGTAGCCTCATCAGATTTCATAGTAGAATGCATTTAAACGTTCATATATTTGTCTAATATTTTTCACTCTTTGCTTTTTTTCTCTCTTTGATGAGTATTTGGTTATACTTAATTTTGCATGGTAGCTCCAGGTTTGCTTCGTTATTTTTTCTATATTGTTATTTCTTCAGGACTTCGTGGAGGATCTATGGGACCAGATACAGGCTCTAGCTGCGAACGGATGGAAACTTGATAGTGGTATGCATATTTCTTATGGTTTTCATTAGCCTTGTTTTAGCTAAGACACAGTCCTTTAGTTTTCCCGTTTACATTCACTTTCAACTTGTAAGTTAATCAGTTCATTTGATAATAAGGGGACTTGTGTACTATTATTTGTGACAATTTGATACCGTTTCAACTTGCTAGTTCCAAGGCCTCATCTCTCATTTGAAGCACAGCTGGTTGCTGGAAAATCTCATGAGCTTGGCCCCATCAAATGCCCGGAGCAACCGGCTCCACCTGCAAAACTTTCAAGAATTATAACCGGCGAACAAAAGCATGAGGCTGAGATGAGATATCCTCAGAGGATCCGCAGGCTGAATATATTTCCGGCCGGTAAAACTGAGGTGCTAACCTGCTTTAAGATCTCAATGCTCATGTATAAAGGGTTTTATTCCTGGTATCGATTTGGGCTTTTTGAAAATCTATTGCATTATTTTACTGATGACCTCACTTTTTATCTATATTATGCTCTTTTATTTCATTTGATTTATTATCTTATAGATTGTGGATGCTCCTAAATGGGTTTTATATTCCTTTTTTTTCCACTTTTTCATCCGATCCTAAGATTATTTAGTTTTCAGGATTTACAACCTATTGATCGCTTTGTAGTACAAGAGTATTTGCTGGATGTGCTCCTTTATTTTAATGGCAGGTTTGTATCTTCCTTAAGTTTGAGTGCTCTTGAATTTTCTTTATTTCGTACTGCTTTTCCTGCAGGGTAGAGGGTAGACTTTCCGTGTTTGCTGTTTTTAAAAAAAAAAATTATTATATAGCTTCATTTTGTACTCTTAGTCTGTTCAAGTTGATCATGTGGTCTCTTTATTTCGAGTTATGGCTGTGGATGCAATCTCCAAAGTAGAATAAGGCTAGAAAAGAACAAAAGAAGCTCATAACTTTCTTTCTGAGCATATAATTGTAGAATTATCTTAAGCCTATAGTTTCTCTGCTTGGTCCGAGCTTTAGTCTGATACTGATTACATTCAATGTGTTGTATCTTTGATACATTTTATTAAACTCTTCCATAATTCATGCAAAGCTAGTCGAAGAGAGTGTGCCTCCTATATGGTCAGTCTCCCCGTGCCTTTCCGGTATGAGTATCTTATGGCAGAGACGATATTTTCTCAGGTAAAGTTCGTTTCATTTTAATTTGCACACATTGGAGAACAATTATGATGTTTCTATATTGTATATGGAATTGTTAGCTATACCACTCTTATTAGATAAATAAAACACCTTTTTTCCTTGGCATAATTTGTTTTCAAGGCCTGGTTTTGTGATAACACTTGGATCCACTGTTGGTGCAGTTACTTCTGCTACCACGACCACCATTCAAGACTCTATATTATACACTCATAATTATGGATCTTTGTAAGGTAACACAACACAGACTAGTCTGATTATTTGATGGCTTGTCGATAGGTGTTTCATTTCCTTCAACTACATAATTTCATAATTTCTAATTATGGATTTTAGGCTCTTCCTGGTGCCTTTCCTGCTGTCGTAGCGGGTGCTGTTCGTGCGCTTTTCGAGAAAATTGCAGACTTGGATATGGAGTGTAGAACACGCCTTATTCTCTGGTTTTCACACCATTTGTAAGTCAACACTGTTAAACCTTTTTCATTTTCTTACCTTTTGATTGTTGAATTTTCTATAGTTGCTTCATTGTAGAACTCTGTCTGGATGGTCCAGTTTCTAATGAAAATATACGTTGGATCTCTGATCTTTTCCAGTCATGTTAACTCAATAGAGTAAACTTGTCTTTGTACCAAAAACATTTTTGTGAATTTCGCTTGAGGGTTAACTAAGAAACAGAACTAGAAATGCATGTTTCTGTAAATTCATTTTAACTTGAGACAGACTTTTTTCTTCACACTTTAGATTATAAAGTCTGGGTGAAGTTTAGTTACATTTTGTTCAGCCGACGTTAGATTTTTGAGAGGCATTATATGTATGAATGTGTGATTTGATGATACTTTGAGAATCAGCTCTTGATGACTCGAAGTTCACTATCTAGTTTGAATTCATCTCTTCTGCCAATTATTACTATGCTCAACAGATCCAATTTCCAATTCATCTGGCCCTGGGAAGAGTGGGCTCATGTCTTAGACCTTCCAAAATGGGCCCCTCAGCGTGTATTTGTCCAGGAGGTTTTGCAAAGAGAAGTACGCTTGTCATATTGGGATAAAATTAAGCAGGTAACAGATCAAATGCTTGAATTCTTTCCTCTCTATCTTAAGATTTATAGTTATATTATTTTTTCCAGATTTGTAATGCTTGGGTTATGATTTGACATGGAGTTGATCTTCCTTTCGACCAAGATTTAGCATCCTGCCATCATTTAAATTTTGTGACACAATTGCAATTCTTACTGATATTGTTAAGCTTGGTGAATCTAGGTCTAATTGGTACAGAATATCAAGAGGTCAAAGATGTTGACTGTATCGCTTCTTATTAGAACAGTGTCGGTCTAAAAATTTGTATGTGTACCCTTTTTTTGTGAGAAAAAATATTAAAAGAGTTTTAGTTCCTTTTTATACTAAGAAGTTGTCAAGAGAACATTTTTATTAGGTGATAACTGTAGTCGGAAAAGTTTCAAGGGGATGGTTGCCATATTTCTAGCATCATATCTTGTTTTATACTTGGCCTAAGATTGAAATTTTACTGTTCCATTTTTCAGAGTGTATGACATTTTAGTTTGAGTTCGATATGATGTTTAGTTATCCGCTATCAAAGTTATTCTTCCTACACCATTTGTGTCGACAGAGCGTTGAAAATGCTAGTGCTCTTGAAGAATTGCTTCCACCAAAGGGTGGTCCGAATTTCAAGTACTCCTTCGAAGATGGTAAAGAGAAAACTGAAGAACATCAACTCTCTGCAGACTTGAATAGCATGGTTAAGGGAAAGCAAACTGCACGTGACATAATATCTTGGGTTGAAGAGAGTGTCTATCCAGCTCAAGGTTTTGAAGTTACTCTTGCAGTAGTCGTGCAAACCTTACTGGACATTGGGTCAAAAAGTTTTACTCATTTGATCATCGTTCTGGAGCGATACGGCCAAGTATTTGCAAAATTATGTCCTGACAACGATAAACAAGTTATGTTAATATCTGAAATCAGTACTTACTGGAAGAACAATGCACAAATGACAGCAGTGGCGATTGATAGAATGATGGGATATAGACTCTTATCAAATCAGGCAATTGTCAGATGGGTTTTCTCTTCGGAAAATGTAGATCAATTTCATGTCTCTGATCGGCCGTGGGAGGTTAGTTGTTGCTTTCTATGTTAATCTCTGTCCTTGGAGTACAAGATTCTAGAATTTTCTTGTTTTCAGATACAACATAACTACCTGGTTTCTGTAAATGTACTGTTCCTTGTCTGGCTTATATTTCTTGCTCTTGCAGATTCTTGGGAATGCTCTGAGCAAGACGTATAATCGTACATCTGATCTAAAGAAAGAAATATCAAACCTTAGTAAAAATCTTTTGGTAGTTGAAAAAGCTGCAGCAAAGGCAAAAGCAGAGTTGGAGGCAGCAGAAACCAAGCTTTCTCTGGTAGAGGGTGAGCCTGTTGTTGGTGATAATCCGGCGAAGATGAAGCGTTTGAAATCGCAGGCTGAAAAAGCAATGGAAGAAGAAGTATCTCTCCGGGATTCAATAGAGGCAAAAGAGGCTCTACTTAATAGAGCTCTTGCTGAAAACGAGGTATGACTAGAAGATGCGTTCTTATCATTCTTTTCATTTTCATTTTGGTGCCACTGTTTATTTTTAATTATTTGTACTCTAATAGGTTTAAGGTACCTGTGGATTTTACATGTAATGGTCCTTTATTTATTACTGGTAAAAAAATCTTATATTTGTAAGATCCCACCGTCTCTAACTTGCACTGGATCATCCACTACCAAGAATTCTAATAATAGATTGCTTTTGTTGTTGGACTTGTTATGATATTCTCCGTTTTAGTGCTGCTGCTTATATATCTATCTTCGTTTTCTGCAACTTATAAATTTTTTATTGTGCATAGAGTCTGCTACTCTTGGTGTACCAGAGTTTCATGGCTGTCTTAAAGGAACGACTCCCAGATCCGTCAAAGGCCAGAACATTGCAGGAACTAAAATCTATTGGTGAAGAGTTTATGGCGGTGGACCTTGAGGAGCCCTCTGCAATGGAGGTGGACAATGAGAATGGTAACACGAAGAAAAGGTACTTTAATTCTCATTCCTCTAGACCCTTCTTTTTTTTTTGCTGTTCTCGTGCTTCATTTTTCTAGTTGGATTTTTTTTACAACTTGAACTCGCGAGTAAAAACCGTTTATTGCTGGTAAAACATGACCAGTGAGTCCAAGGGGGACAAATCAGAGAGTCTCTACAAAGTTGGAGAAAGAGAACAATGGTGCTTGTCAACACTTGGCTATCTCAAGGCATTCACAAGGCAATACGCCTCCGAGGTATAGGAACAAACACTCGCTTATCTGAATCCGAGTCCACTGCTCGCAACTCAGCCTTTGATTGAAAAAAGCTTCTGCTCATGACATATTCATCGGCGTAATTGCCAGTTTGATTTATTTGTTCAAACTCCCAGAACCATTCTTATTCGATCGGCCGGAACAACAAATGCCCTGGAAATCACTTTTGCATAACCAAAAAATCTAAATTCTGCGTCTGTGTTTCAGATTTGGCCTCACATGGAGAGGCTGGATTCGGATGTATTCTCGAGAGAAGAAGTTCATCCTCTTTTTCTGGAAGCGGTTTATTCGGGTATGCGCATAGAGGAGGTTTCATCAAGCTGATGCTGTTCTGTATGAAGGTATCAGCTTTGAGAATATACTGTCTCTTGGTTGGTGTGAATCAGATCATCACTGTTTCCATAGATCTCGAACTGTAGGATACTTCACATTCGACATTGTTCCATAAACTTTGAGCTTTGGTGATTTCAACTACTTTGTGACTTTTTTTTTTTTTGCTTTGTTGTATTTTTAGACCAGTTTTGAGGATAGATCTCTTAGAGTTCACTGATTCTGCAAAGAGAGCGATTTAGTGTTGTTGCTTATGTCTTGTCTGGGGGGTATGACTGATTGAAGCGCAAACTTCCTCAAACTTGGTATATATGTGTATAATCTCTCTTTTGAATCTACAACTAGATTAAATATATTAAAATTTTGATTAATAGGTTTTAAAAAATGATAAATTTTTTAGAAAGTTTATCATTAATAATAAAAATGGTTTTTTTAAAATGGTTTCCATCAAATTGTAATAGCTATAGACCAAATGAATAAAATCTTAAAACTCAATTATGATATTTTCATCATCGGTGAAACTTTTTTTTTTTGATAACCAGGATGGTTTTCGGTTCGGCTATATCCACCCTAGGTCTGAGACCAATATTTGTATATGGATCATTTTACTCTAGAAATCACATCCCTCTCCACATATAGAATCGAATTTTGAAGATGATTTTGTCACATCTCATCCACTGCTCCACCAACTGTTGGGTGTGAAACTTAATCAGCATGAATGAAATATGGAGATTCATATTATATTATATTAAATCCATGAAATGGGGTTTAGGGTGAAGAAGAATCATAAACCCTTCATGAAATAACATCGGACTTCAGTCTTGAGTTCATCCTTTCAAGTCAAATACGTCTCAAGTCAGTCTTTTGTCTTCTCAAGATTTTGCTGTCCCAGCTTGAATCTTTTGTAATTATCCCCTTAACTCTGTCTTTTTTTTTTCCTCAATATAATGTGGTCCATCAAGATAATGTTTTTTTTTGTTGCCCTTTTGATATATATAAAAAAAATTGAATTTCCTCATTTAAATAACACACTCAAGTTGATACTCTTGAGTTGTGCCGGTCTCTTGTCACTAATTTCTTTATCAGTTTCCTGGTATTATTCTTTTTTTTCTCTCTCTCTCTCTTGATGTAGATTTATCTTTTATCACTGAACCCATGTTTGGAAATCTTGGATTGCTATTTCTTACAAATCAAAAAGACCCTTTTTTTTTCTTGATATTTCATTGATAGAACAAAAACAGTGTTTTTTGGCTGTAATTGTTTTTTTAAAACTGATTTTGTCCTTTTGTGTGGTATATAAATCATCATTTTTATATAACTTGGACCATTAGGGTATATGACTTGGTTTAAATTTGACTAATGGATACAATAATGGCGGTTGGATTTTCATGTGTGTTTTGGACCTACCCGCTCATTGGAAGACGGACGATTTCCGTTGGATTTTTATTTCTTGTCTCACGGATGAGAGATCTCTCTGTATAGAGAAATTGGCAGATTTTCCATGGAATTCTTCCGTCAAACAAAATATCCAATCAATTAATCTCTTTTAAGCAAAAAAAAAAATCAGTGAATCAAAGTAAAAATATTGAAAAAAAAACGTAATTTTAATTTCCGTAAAGGAGTGATATATGTAAAGGAGTGAGCAGACGTGCGCTTCAACAGTGGGGATCTCGTACGTCTGATCTTCCTAATCTAATGTGGGCCCCTCTTTCTCACTCCGCATCTCTCTCCCCCCTCTTCATTTTCTTTATTTTTTTTTATTTTTTTTTATAATCCGGAAGATCACCGAACCTTTGGCCCGACTACATCTCCGAGAGGAACGGGGAAGCCCATGTAAATGTCCCTCCCCACGTTTGGGTTTGAATCCAAAATGAGAGCATACTTTGCATGTTTTCTCACCACTAGACCACCCAAGCTTGGTTATTTTCTTCATATTTATTATATACACAAAATCTTTTTTGTTTAATTAAAATATTTAAGTTGTTTTTAAAAAAAAATCAAAATTTATATATTAGAGGACCTAGACGCTCACGAGAAGAGACAGAGACGATCTCAACGTCACTACGTTGGATAATGCAGAGTTTTATTTTTCAGAAGAAAAAACGGAAATATATCAAAGTACACGTTTATGCAGAAGAAAAAAAAACACGAACCTAATATTGAGGATCGTCCACCCACGACCAACTTTCGAAAAATGGGCCATAACATGTAACAAGGTTTTTTTCCTACTAGTAGTTTTATATAATGAAAAAAGGTTTCCATGAATCTATAACATTTAAGGGTTTTATTTATTTATTTTACTTTTATTCTCAAAATAAAATGCTATTGATCTTTTTCTTTTCTTTTTTTTGTCCCAAGAGGAAAAAAGAAGAAGGGAAGGGTTTTGGTGGCTGAGGAGAAGGACCCTTATTATATATATATATATATATAAGAAGTCTTCTCCTCCCTGTTCTCTGTAAGATATAGATTATAGAGAATCCATTTGCACGTGAACCTCTATACACAGATTACAGGCTTATATACGTGCTGAGAGAGAGAGAGAGAGATGTTTGCGGTAGAGAATGGGTTGCAGGGAGATCCAAGATTGGAGGCCATCTCCGACGCCATTAGAGTCATCCCTCACTTCCCCAAGACCGGTTCTTCTTCTTCTTCTTCTTCTTCTTCTTCTTCTTCTTCTTCTTCTTCTTCTTCTTCTTCTTCTTCTTCTTCTTCTTCTTCTTCATCATCATCTTCTGTGTGACCCACCAAAATATCAGAAGTTTTTGTTTTCTTTTGTTATTTTTCATGGTTTGTTTTTCGAGTTTATTATATATTTTCTTTCATCCACCAATTTGAAAATGAATTTTTTTTTAAAACTTTATTGTTATTTGGTAAAGTGTTAATTTTATGTAGTTTGTGGTTTCATCAGGAATAATGTTTCAGGACATAACGACGTTGCTGCTTGATCCGAAGGCCTTCAAGCATGTCGTCGATATCTTTGTCGACCGTTACAGACACATGAACATCTCCGTCGTCGCAGGTCACACGTCTTCACGTACTTCTTTTCTTCTTCTTTTTTTAAAAAAAAAAACAAATCTGTATTTACCATTTATTTGGATGAAAACATTAAAAAAAAGAGATATGTCAATATTATTACACACGGATTTTTTTTCTTCTTCTGATAATCCGAAAATTCATCGAGTTTTCAATCCAACTACATCTTCCAGATAATCAGAACTCCCATGTGAATATATTTTCCTATGGAGAATCGAACCTGAACTGAGAATGAGTTTTACTCCATCTCTTACCGATTAAACCACCCAAACTTGAAATTTTAATTGAATATAAACGATGTACACAACTAAATTGATATAGCAAAGATCAAAACCTGAACACAATTAGTTAAATAGGATATATATATATATATGTGTGTGTATATATATGTCGGAATACAAAGGCGTTCTTGTTCTAATCCACCAAATGCAAATGCGGCGTGTAGATTACTTACACAATTATATATATTGGACGTATAGTAAATATTTGATAGTGGATTTGATGAGCTTGTTTTCGTCATCATTCCAGTTATATTAATAAAACTTTTTTTTTTATGAAACGGGTGGTGGTAACATAATCATATCCTCCATCCAATATTTAATTATTACAACTTTTTGGTTTAATGATTTTCACACTCACATCAAAATCGACTAGTGTGGTCGTTGAGGGAGATGCAATTTTTTTTATATATAATTAATGTGAATCGGCCTGTAATCTTTGGCTTTTGTGACTCTCGCTCTCCGGAATGATTACGATTTCCTTTATTTTTTAATTTAAAATATATATAATCAAGTAGTGGATATATATATAATGCTCATTTTAGATAGTAAGATAGATAATTATATTAAATGCATGTTTAAAGGGTCATGATACATATATTTTATAAAACAAAATGGCAGGAGTGGAGGCGAGGGGATTCATATTCGGGGCTCCCATCGCATTAGCCATCGGTGCCAAGTTCCTTCCCCTCCGTAAACCCGGGAAATTGCCTGGTTGGCCCCTATTGCTGTATGATGGCAATTTCGTAAATATATATATACATATGATGGCAATTTCGTAATTAACTGAATTGTCGTTTTTTTTGGTGATAAGGGCGAGTGATATGCGAAGAGTATGAGCTGGAGTACGGAAGAGATCGTCTAGAGATGCAAATGGACGCGGTTAAACGCGGAGAACGGTCCATTGTTACGGATGATTTGGTCGCAACGGGTGGGACGCTCTCTGCCTCCATCAATCTTTTGGGTAAATCAAATTATATCATCCGTTGGTCCATGAGGCTAAGCAATTTGATATACCGTTTTCTGATTGATTAATGCCACGTATACCAACAAAACGACCGTGCATGCATGCAACGCATCAGAGCGTGCGGGGGCTCATGTCGTGGAGTGTGCCTGTGTTGTGGGCCTGCCTAAGTTCAAGGTAACCATATTTGATATTTGGGTAAACGGGTGTAATAGATAGAGACCCAAACTAATTTCAGAAACAATTTGAAGATCGAATTCGGAATAAAACAGATGCTTTGCGTCTCGGTTTCACCGGTTACTCTACCCAGATTGGGTATATTTGATATTTCATGGAAAGTTTTCATATTAATACACTAATTTATTACCAACTCTAGTTAACGATCACAAATTTTACAAAGATTCCTAAAATACTACACCATATTTGATTCTATTTCTTATTTGATGTTTTATTTGTTGGAAGTTTTTTTTTTTTTGTTGAGAATTTTTGTTTAAATTAGAAATAGAAAACAAATTCACATATATTTTTTTAAACTTCAATTTCGTATATTAATATCAATTCAGAAATGAATTCTGGGGTATTGGGCCTAGAGTAAGGCCCATGATCGATCAGTTGGGCCTTAATGGGCTATATTGGCAACGAGTTAATTTTCGTGTTAAAATGCAGGGACCGTGCAGGCTCAACGGAAAGCCCTTGTACGTATTGGTGGAACCTAGGGACTGAATATTATTGTTTAGTGTTATTTCTCTCTGTAATTACGTCCACTGTAATATCATCTTTTTTTCTATTTACTATTGTCTTTCTTGAACCGTCTTTAGAAATACGAGAGAGTATTTTCATTAAAATTATCGAGAGAGTAAAGAAAGAAATGTCGGACGAAAGGAAACGGAACGTTGGTATTCATGTGGTTGCTGTTGCACGCGCCACGCGCCTATGTTTATAAAAATCGAAATTACGAAAAAGGCCCGCCGCTTGAAGTTGGCTATAAAAAGGGGGTCAAAGACGGCGAACCCTCTCAAGTGTTAACCCCTCGGAAAACCTAAGAAGGCGAGGAGAAAATCCGAACGGTGTTCGTAGTTCCCGGATCCTGATCAGAGATTTCGCCGGAAAGCTATCCGTATTTATCGTCTTCTCGTAAACCCTAGCCTCACCCGTACCCTTGGCTTCGATTTCTGCTTTAATTCGTCGAATTCTCAGCCATGTGTGCCGCAGTTTGTGGAAGTAAGAGATCCTTCTTCGAAGATATTCCTTCCCCGCCGTCTTCGAAGAGGATCCGATGTTATTCGCCTTCATCTTCTCCGAATCTGTCCTCGTCGCCTGATCAATCTCTGACCTTTTGATCCGTCGTTTAACAATATTTTCCAGGTTAAAACAGTTGAAGGAGACACCGAACTACAGATACCTGCAGGTACCCAACCTGGTGATGTGCTGGTCCTGGCAAAGAAAGGTGCACCAAAACTCAATAGACCGTCACTTTCCCTCTTCTTCTGTTAAATCCACCTAACGACATGTATTGCTTGGTCTTAATGGCTCCGTTTGAGATTTTACCCGATATTTGTTGATAGTTGAACAGATAAGGCTCCGTAGGTTGGTGCTTCTTGTTAATTCGACTTTGATGGGATCGATTTTGTATTGTTCGTTTTAGCGGCTGTTCAGGCCATGTAGTCGATTGGTTGGCCGATATATTTTTGTTATGAATTAATAGATTAACTGTATTTTCTTTCAGGTTCTTGCGAGGGCTCTAGAAGAATGTGGCGGAGATCTGGATGCCGCGATGAAGAGCTTACACTCCATGGAGCCAGCTGAAGAATCGGATATAGGAGGAGAGCATGGTATGTTTGCAAAAGGGGTTGCTTTCTTGGGTTGCTGCCTATGTTCTTGAATGCGGTTATGTATCTTGGGGTTGTGCAATATGGATATGAGTGGTCTGCATTTGGCATGACAAAAGTGGGATATCTGTTGAAGAAAGTTGGTTTTACTGAGTATATCCATGAGAAATCTTTTGAAATGTTCGATATAGGAGTATGTGCCATTCACTTTTATAGACATAAATATGTTTATCTTGATTTTGCCTGAGTGTTTGGACAGCTTGTGTGTTTGGTCTACTGCTCTTTATCTTGTTGGAAAACCAAATGTAACATAAAAATGTGGATTGGCAGGAGGTTTAAGCAGTGAGGAAACTCCTGTTGAAGGTGGAAGTTTAGCAGCTTCGGACAATCACCCAAGGAGTGGTGACGACTGGGTTGAGTTGCTAGTGAGAGAAATGGCTCTGTCTTCTAGTAAAGATGATGCAAAGGCCCGCGGTGCAAGAGTCCTAGAGGCTCTAGAAAGGGCAATAAGTGAGCATGCTCGTGAAGAAGGGGGAAAAAGTTTCCAAGAGGTAAAACATTTGGTGAAATTCTGCCGGATGGATTTCATGTTTAATCTTGCAGCTCTCTACACATACATGAACTTTAGCGCGCACACACCTACCTCTATGTAGTATGTGTTTCTGTGCAAACACCAAAAGTATAACCGTGTATAACAATATGGAGTTAAGGATTCCTCACATGGGGGAATTAGACTCATCAGCTAGAAATCACATTATGCATTGTCTCTCTTGTATTAACTCTGCCAACTCGAATATATATACTTACACCCATATATGATGTATGTGTTTCTGTGCATATATGTAACTGTATACAACAGTTGAATTTAAGGGTTTCTCAATTGGGGAGTTAGAGTTAGACTTGTGAGCTAGAAGTGATGCCGTGGTTCCAATTTTTCAGGAGAACATGGTGCTGAAGCAGCAAACGGAAGCCTTGATCAAGGACAATGCTGTCCTGAAACGTGCCGTTGCTATCCAGCACGAGCGGCAGAAAGTGTTTGATGACGTGAGCCAGCAGCTAGAGCTTTTGAGACAGCTGATTCCACAGTACCAGGAAAAGATCAGAAATCTGGAGGTAATCAAGAGAGAGATTATATCTCGTTTCTTTGTGTTATATGTTCATTGTGGGGTGAAACCCTTTATTTATCAGTTGATAAGACCGGGTTAAGGTTTTGAACTCGATAACTCTAGATTTCATGGTAACGGTAGTACTGAATCTGCGTAGCCCATGTCCGTAAGAATTGGATTAGATCAAATCTGTTCAATCCCATTGATAGAAGCATTCATGCACTGGAACATGTTTGGCTTGCAGGTGAACAACTACGCCTTAAGAATGCATCTGCAGCAAGTGGGGCAGAGCAGTTCCATTCCCGAGCGGTTCAATCCTGACGTCTTCTAAACATCGGAGAGGACAGGCGGACATTGCTTTTGGCGTTTTTGCCATTCATGTAAGCCAAATTTTCTTGGGGGGTGTGGGCTGATTTTCAGGCATCAGCATGGACCTGTGCGCGTGTTTCTTGTTTTTCCTTGCTTCCTTTTCTATTGAAAAAAAAAAAAATTGCTTTTGTATAATCTTCGCCCCCGGGGGGAAGCCAAATTCTCACCTAGTGTTGGGCTTTTTGTATTTGTTCGGGAACAGTTTATTCCATTCTATAAAAATTGTATCCAACTAGAAGCCAATGTTAACCGGTGTGGTTCGGTTCAGAACGTTTTGTGATATGAATATTGAATATTAATCTGGATTTCGGTTTGGTATTTATCCGGTTCCGTATTTATCAGGTTAAATTCAGAAATGGTTTATTGATTTTATAAAAAATGATATCAAATTAGAAACCGTCCACCTGTTTTCACCTATCAGAGTTTCGTATGGAGAAAAAAAAAACAGGAAATACAAATATTACAGTAGGTTATGGTTAATTTTCTCTAGTTCGTCTCTTGTAAAGATAGATGTAAAACTTGAGGAAGGAAAGAAAGAAGAGTACACGCTTGCGAAACTGTCACCACAAATCACAACCTTTAGGGGTTCTCTCACTCACCCCACCCATATTCGCTGTTTTCATTGAGAGAGAGAGAGAGAGAGAGAGAGAGAAAACGAGGAGGAGAAAATGGCGGAGGTCGTGCTCGTCTTTGCGGCGTAGGAAGGGAAAGCTCGTTTTTCTTTCTCCAAATTTGAAATGGCTGCGGTTGTTTCCTTCTCTCTCGTCCCCTCTTCTCTGGGCTTCCCCTGCGATGGCCGCCCCTCCATCTCTGCTCATTCCTCCGCATTCTTCGATGGCGGCACCAGTCTCAGGTCTCTCAAGAGCGTTTTATCTGTTTCACCCTCTACTAATCGGAATCTCCGCCGATTTTCTCGCCGTTCGGTCATCGTTTTCGCTGCTTCCGGCGACTATTACGCCACTCTCGGTGTTCCCCAATCCGCTACTGGCAAGGAAATCAAAGCTGCGTATCGCCGCCTTGCTCGCCAGGTATCTCTTTTGATTTCTGGTTTCCTGGGCATATCATTATTTTCAGAAATGACAAGTATTGGAGTTCTACTTGTTCTCTCGGCAGTCGAATGTGATTGATCTCAGAAGTATGCGTATTTGGTTATTCAGGAACATTAGCATTTAATTTGGGCTAGACGTTGGATGGTTAGAATTCGATTTGGAATTGATCTGCTAAATGGCTCAATCTTCTGCAATGCTAAGCCTTTTGCGGAATTGCTGTTTTATGGCGTTGTTGTTTTGTGAAACATTTCAACTGATTATGAATTTTGTGTCAAGTATCACCCTGATGTCAACAAGGAACCTGGAGCAACGGAAAAATTCAAGGAGATCAGTGCAGCTTATGAGGTATGCATGGAAAGCTAAACATCCCTGCTTTCATTCTCTTCATGATTTCTCTTGTCTTGAGGTGGTGCTGAATTTTGAGTTTGTTCGCTTTTGTCTTAAATTTGCATGGAATTACATGATTAGAAGAAGGCTTGTTTCATAGTTTTGCTTCACGTATGGAATTTGAATATGTAAATGTCTAGTTGAACGGTCAGATTTCTTGCTTCTGGTTACTGAACTACATCACTGTCAGGTGTTATCAGATGATAAAAAGAGAGCATTATACGATCAATACGGTGAAGCTGGTGTCAAGAGTACTGTTGGAGGAGCTTCCGGTGCTTACACGGTAACATATTATCTTTAGGTGGATCTCCATTTCTCTTTGCGTTTAATCATGCGATGTCTGGGTGCTCGCTGTCTGATCATCTGTAGAGTTGAATTTCACCTGATATATGAGAGACATAATGGCGAGCAACTCCTATCTTTGTGATAGTAATACTCTTTGATATCTGCTTATCTTTCATTTCCGAGCAGACAAATCCGTTTGACCTTTTCGAGACATTCTTTGGGGCAAGTATGGGTGGGTTTCCCGGGGTGGACCAAGCTGAATTTGGACGAACCCGTCGCAGTACAATTATCAAAGGTGAAGACTTACGGTGAGTTGATATCGGAGAGTTGTGCATATTTAGGCTAAATGCTGAGGATTTCTCCTTTATTGTCTGTTTTCATGAACATCATATACCATTTATTTAAGGTATTATATGCGGAAAGTTTATCATTTTATATGCTTAGGGTCTCCTAACTTATCCAATTTCTGACATTTGCTCTCTCAAGTGATAAGCATGTGCCTTGAATTTGTAAGTGAACAGTCGTGCTTGTGTTGCTGTTCTGTTTTCTTTTGGCTACCGCTTTTCCTTCTTTGCCTGGTATTGCTTCTGAAGACAACCTGATTCATTTTTGCTTCTGATCCAACTTAGATATGATATCACCTTAGCACTATCCGAGGCTATATTTGGATCTGAGAAAGAATTTGAGCTTTCCCATCTGGAGATATGCGAAGCTTGTGCTGGTACTGGAGCAAAGGCAGGATCCAAAATGAGGATATGCTCCACATGTGGTGGCCGGGGTCAAGTTATGAGAACTGAGCAAACACCATTTGGTTTGTTTTCACAGGTTATTTCCAGTTTTTTCTTATATTTTTTCCGGTGCTTTCTATCTATTGTAGTAAAAATTCATGCCAGACAAAAAACTGCATATGATTTCGCTAGTTGACTACTGCTTTGGAATGTCGTTGGTCTCAGACATGGGGTGTCAACGTGCTGAACCTTGATGAAATAGATGGTGCTAGATTAGTATATTAAAATGCCTTAAACAGTCAATATTAACAATTTCACTTAAACAGTCAATATTAATATTAGGCATGGAGTGTCAATGTGTGGACTTGGTGAAACTCAAATGTGAGATTTTTAGAAACATGGATTGATTTGCAGTTCATGCATACTCGTTCATTGTGAATCCTGTCTCAATGATTCTTCATGAATATCTTTCACCTCACTGTACCTAAATTTATTTAAGATTTTCTCTGTGCATGCCCTGTTTCCATTGGTGCCAGGTGTCTATATGTCCAAACTGCGGTGGGGATGGTGAGGTAATTTCCGAAAGTTGCCGGAAATGCTCTGGCGAAGGACGTGTACGCATCAAGAAAAGCATCAAGGTCAAAATTCCTCCAGGTGTCGGTGCAGGTAGCATCCTTAGGGTTGCGGGAGAAGGTGATGCTGGGCCAAGAGGGTATGAAAAGAAAGAAAACTAGTGCTCTACTTTCTTGACAAGATAACTTGCTAATGTTAAAATCATTATGTGCTGTCGAATGTTTGTGGTTCTGGTTTGTGTTAAACTCGGTTTGTGCTGATGGCAGAGGTCCTCCAGGAGATTTGTTTGTATATCTTGATGTTGAAGATGTTCCCGGAATCCAAAGGGATGGCATAAACCTTTTATCTATCTTGTCAATCAGTTACCTTGATGCTATATTGGGCACAGTTGTTAAGGTGATTTAGTTATTTGCATGGGCATGACCATGGCCCGTTCTACTTTCGGAGATCCTCAGTACTGATCAATCTCTGACCTTTTGATCCGTCGTTTAACAATATTTTCCAGGTTAAAACAGTTGAAGGAGACACCGAACTACAGATACCTGCAGGTACCCAACCTGGTGATGTGCTGGTCCTGGCAAAGAAAGGTGCACCAAAACTCAATAGACCGTCAATACGTGGTGACCACTTGTTTACTGTCAAAGTTACTATACCAAATCGAATTAGGTATTACCCCATCTATCTGGTCTTATGGTATGGTAAAGACGAGGAACAATTGAATTGAACCAACATGAATTTGTTTTAATATGTTTACAGTGCAAGTGAACGGGAGTTGCTAGAAGAACTTGCATCCCTGAGTAATACACCTGGTAGCCGCTCACGAACTCGCTCTAAACAACAGCAGCCCGCCGGTAAGTTGCCCATTCTATCATTTTTTTTCTTTGCCATCTCTAACGCTTTGAACAGTATGTTGTTATAATGAGTTGGTATCAATGTGTCACAATTTCATATGGCATATTCATTGGTTTGGTACCTATAGTTTCAATACTATGTGCTTCATTCTGCAGTTCAAAGCTCTGCATCCTCGAGCTCGCAACATGGGACGGGTGAAGCTGTAGAGAAAAGCAAAGAACCCGAGAAAGAAAACGATGTTTGGAAGAGTATTAAAGATCTTGCAGGGTAATCTCTCTTACCCTCTTTCTGTTTCGGAGTCTTTTGGAAATACTTCTTTGTTTCTCAAGCACCTTAAGCTTTTTTTTTTCTGTGTTCCCAGGTCCGTTGCGAGTGGAGCTCTAAAATGGCTTAAAGACAACCTCTAGGGTTCCACATGTTCGACTAACAAAACACAAAGGCCTCAGTACGTTAAGGTCTAGAAATCTCAGTTATGGTCGGAAAATGTTTCAGTGTTTTTGAATGATCATCACATCTGAGAATATTTTGATATTTTTGGGTCTCAATTTGGGGTGAGGTCTTGATTCCTTTTATGTACAGTGAAGATTAAATTGTACCCTCTGCTGCGAATGATTCCTCTCGTATACTTGTGGTTTCTATAATTCGATTTGAATGTCCACTGTACGAATTTTTGTGTCGCAAAGCCTAATACGACCCGCAAGTCACAGATTTTCTGTCAGACCACATGCAAATCTTCCGATAGTTTTTAATAGAGGCTGCATTTTTTTTTTAATCTGAGATACCCATATTTTTTATTGGATATCTGATTTCATAAATATTTAGGTTATGGGTATTCACAATGAACAAGATTGAAAACGGTTTTAATAAAGCTAGAAACTTGGACCGTGGGTTTGGTTTCGAGTTTTTCTTAGTAATGATGGATTATTAATTTATTATCTCGTATATTTCATTAAATATAAAATTACGTTTATATTCATATCGTTTTAATAAAGTTAGAAACTTGGGCCGTGGGTTTGGATTGAGTGTTTTTAAATAATGATGATGGGTTATCTCGCATTATTTCATTAAATATAAAATTACGTTTCTATTCATATTATTTTAATATATTTATAATAATATATATTTATTTTAATATAAAAATGCCAATACACTCTTGAAATCAACGGAATTGTAGAAATTTTAGGGGGTTCGCTATTTTCATGAAATCTTCATAAAATCCTCAGACACATTTCCTCATCTTAATTTTTAAATAAATTACTTGAGAAAAAAAAAATAGATGCAATAATGGTGTGAGATATATATATAGTGTTATGTCGGGCCGTGGAAATGGGCTCATCAGTTACCCGACCCGGTTTTTATCCGACATTTGGGATTTGGATCAAATCTTGTACGATGGAATACAGCAGAAATCGGTAAATACAAAACCCTAGAACTATTTCCCAAATCTGATATTTTTCTCTCGAGAATTTCCGATAACCTGATCCTGCGTCGAATCGCCGGGAGAATCAATTCGCGAAAGCCAAGATGGTGTTGGCGGAGCTTGGTGGGCGGATTACCCGCGCCATACAGCAGATGAGCAATGCCACGATCATCGATGAGAAGGTTCTGAACGAGTGCTTGAACGAGATTACTCGCGCTCTGCTTCAGTCCGATGTTTCGTTTCCCCTCGTTAAGGAGATGCAGACCAATATCAAGAAGATCGTCAACCTCGACGATCTCGCCGCAGGCCACAACAAGCGTAGGATCATTCAACAGGTCAATTCCTTCCCACATAAATTCTCTCTATTGCGTTTTTTCTTTTTACCGATTTGTTGGATTTGGGTTACAATTTTCTTCAGTTTCTGTGATTAATTCGATTGGTGGTTGGTGATTGCCGACCTGGTGCTGATGGGCTGAATTCGTCTCTTTCAGGCTATCTTCAATGAGCTTTGTAAGATGCTTGATCCAGGAAAACCTGCATTCGCCCCTAAAAAGGGTAAACCCAGTATAGTCATGTTCGTCGGTTTACAAGGTGAGTTGCTTCAGTAATTTCTTTTCAAGGAGAGAAAGAAATCTGCTTTGCGATGTTTTGTCTTTTTTCTGAAATCCTTTTTCCACACGCTTCATCGATTCTCTTTTTAATCGCCTTGGAAAATTGTAAAGTCTGCTTCATTAAGTTATTCTGCTGGACCATCAATAATTTCTGTTAAATTTCTTAATTTTTCAAATATTTACAGGTGCTGGAAAAACCACAACATGTACCAAGTATGCTTACTATCATCAGAAGAAGGGCTATAAGCCAGCTCTGGTGTGTGCCGATACTTTCAGGGCTGGTGCTTTTGATCAGCTGAAACAGAATGCTACCAAAGCTAAGATCCCATTTTATGGAAGGTATTAACTTTGACTATTACAAGATCTTACTCTTAAATTCTATCTCCTTGAACGGAAGATGTGAGCTTTATTGGTTTGAAACCTGGAACTGGGTCAAAACCATTCGCTAGGGTGTATGGTAATAGCTGAACGCGAATCCGTTAACTTTGAGTCGTGGCTGTTTTCTCTTTGCAGCTACACAGAATCAGATCCTGTGAGAATTGCTGCTGAAGGAGTGGAAAGATTCAAGAAAGAAAACTGTGATCTTATCATCGTGGACACCAGTGGTCGCCATAAACAGGAAGCTGCTCTTTTTGAAGAAATGCGTCAAGTTGCTGAAGCAACGGTATGTTCTTGTCGTCTAATACTCTCCTGGTATTTCCGGTTGTCTATTTCAGGTGCTTAAAATCGTAGTTTCTTTTTCCAGAAACCAGATCTTGTTATATTTGTCATGGACAGCAGTATTGGTCAAGCTGCATTTGATCAAGCTCAAGCGTTCAAGCAAAGTGTTGCTGTAGGAGCTGTTATAGTTACTAAGATGGATGGCCATGCAAAGGGTGGTGGTGCTCTCAGTGCGTAAGTATCGCTGCCACTGTCAAGTTTTCCTTTGTATTTTAATTTTTAAAGAGTAAATTTGTTTCGTCAATATTAATAAAATCTTGTGCTCTGCTTTCAATCTGGCCTTTCCTTATTTTTTCAGTGTTGCAGCAACAAAAAGTCCCGTCATATTCATCGGAACGGGAGAGCATATGGATGAATTTGAAGTCTTTGATGTTAAACCGTTTGTCAGCCGTCTCTTGGGTGAGTAACTAACTACCGTTGAAGGTCACAAACTCCCCGTATGCTTTATCTCGAGTCTGTATTAATTTTGTCTAATTAAACTGTGATTGTAACAACCAGGGATGGGTGATTGGTCGGGATTCATGGATAAAATTCATGAGGTGGTGCCTAAAGATCAACAGCCTCAACTTCTGGAAAAGCTATCGCAGGGTAACTTTACACTGAGAATAATGTATGAACAGTTCCAGAACATACTCAACATGGGCCCGATTGGTCAGGTCAGTTTCACTTCACTATCAACTGTGAGTTTTTAATCGCGAAAGTGAAATGTGAACCGGGTTTTATTTTCTTTTCAATGCCCGTTAGGTATTTTCTATGCTTCCCGGATTTAGTGCGGAATTGATGCCAAAAGGGCATGAGAAAGAAAGCCAGGCGAAGATAAAGCGCTACATGACGATGATGGACTCAATGACAAATGAAGGCAAGTATATATCTTTATCTACTCATGATGGGCATTCATTTTTTGGGGTGTAAAAACCGAAGAGATATATGAATAAATGCAGAGCTGGACAGCTCAAACCCGAAGGTGTTCAACGAGTCGAGGATGATGAGGATAGCGAGAGGGTCGGGGAGACACATAAGGGAAGTGATGGATATGCTGGAAGAGTACAAGAGGCTGGCGAAGATATGGAGCAACATGAAAGGGCTGAAGATACCGAAGAAGGGAGACATGAGCGCGTTGTCGAGGAACATGAACGCGCAGCACATGAGCAAGGTCCTTCCACCTCACATGCTCAAACAGATCGGCGGCATGGGCGGTCTCCAGAGTCTCATGAAGCAGATGGGTTCGGCCAAAGACATGATGGGTATGTTCGGCGGCGGCGACAAGTAGATCTCTCTCTCCCCCTCTCACATCCACTCTGTTATTTATTTGCTCTTCATACCAAGAGGTTATAATTCAGGACAGAACAGTTGTTACATAAATGTCGCTCTTTTGGACTCGGATCATAATCACCCGTTGTTTATATGATTTTTGATTAGTTGTGCCTTTTTTTTTGCCATACGAAAAAGACATGATTCTAAGGGACTTTGTGGATTTTGAGAAAATTTCTATAAAAGTAATAATAGCGAATAATAGTGATTATTGTTGTATATGTACGCATGTATAATAGTAATAATCGATGTATAATAGTTGAAACAAGGGTGGGTATGGATCGGATATCCGAAATTCGGATACTATATTTCATTGTCTTTGGTTTGTATCCGTGGGATTAGGTATTTAAATATCTGCGCCTTAATATTCAGTACGGGCGAGTATTCGAAATATTTGAACTTATTTCAATCAATTTTTTACATATTTCTGTATATAAGTATGTCCAAAATTAATCAATATATATATATATTTATATCTAAAAACCATTTAAAATTCATTTTAAAGGGATCAATTCATCCAAAATGAAAGAAAGATAAGTTAGACTTTTTATTTAATACAATTAAAATTCAAAGGTAAAACTATAAATTTAACTGCTCTCAAATATTGGTAACTAATTATCCGTCTTACACATTAATATCAGAATCCGAGTCTAAATTTCGATTTTTTTTTTCTAAAAAAATAATACATAATTTCACTTCATGGATCGGTACCGAGTTTTGTTTTGTTTTTTTCATCCACAAAAAATTCTTAATCTTATTATTCACCGTTGGCATAAAAAAACTGTCCAAAAAGTTTCGTATTAATTAGATGTGTCCTTATATAAATGTGGGAGAGATGGCCTACAGTGTTTATTTTGCTCTCTTGAATTAAATAATTATCCGTAGTCTCTGTATCTTCTGTTAAATTTTGGGAATCAGACGAGCAGCTGAAACAGGCGTCCAGATTAAACGATACAACAGGTAGAAATTCCCATTTTGCCCTTATTTTCTTCAAAATTAAATATAAAAGGCCGGAAATAAAAAGGAAAAGCTCAAAACCCTAGCCGTAAGGTCCAAACTCAGTCGCCCCTCAAATCTTTAGGGTTTCGAAGGTTTCGATCTAAGAGGCAAGGCTGCCGAATCGGCCCATTAGTCTCATCGTCGCCTTTTTCAAATTTTCGACTCCATAAATCTCCACCTTGGTTCCGTTTCGCGCTTCCTGCGTTGGATCCTTCCCGCCGAGCCTACCAGTCTCGTGAGTATCCCACCCTCTCTCTTTTCTTCTTCTTTGTCTTCTGGCTGTTCCGTCCCAGATCTTGCGCTTTCTGTTCCATTCTCGCTCGATTTAAGGTGGTTTTTTAGTAGTTTCAGCTGTCGTGGATCTCTCTCCCGTGTCTTGGTTTTGCTGTCGTTGTCCTTGTTGTTGTTTCGATTATTCTGCTGTCTGTTTTCTGATTGTTGTTCTTCTTCACGTTATGGTGAGGGGGTAGTTCTCTGGTGTTGTATTGTACCAGAGTGGCTTCTGGGTCTGAAGGTTTCTAGAGTGTGAATACGAAAGAGAACGTAAGTTTTCGAACTGAGCTTGTTGCCTATTTTTTTGGGTTGTATGTTTTGAACTGTCTGACAATCAAAATTTACAGGAGTTGACTCTGGTCTTATAACGTCTATTTGAAAATACAAGTTGCGTGCGTTCTTGCTTCTCTGGTCTCCTGTCACGAGGATAATTCTCTGCTGTTAGATTTTATCCAAGCTGTTTCTAGTTATCTGAGAGTTTAGGGAGCAAATTCGGTGAATGTGAAAACTGATTTCATTTGTCTTCTGTGTTTTAGGATCTCTGGTGAAGGAGATGGACAATAATTCTCTGATGCTGATTGATAACGACGGTTCTTTTGAGATGGATGACCATGCTCATATGGATGTGGAGGCCACTGAAAATAACGCCATGACAGTCTTTAATCCAACAACTCCTGTTGCTGATGCTGATGACAGTGCGCTGCTTGAACCTGATACACAACCCAGCAAACGAAGGAGGAAGAAGTCTATGGTGTGGGAGCATTTCACGATAGAAACAGTTAGCCCTGGATCTACTAAAGCTTCTTGTAAGCACTGCAAGAAATCCTTTGCCTATATAACTGGTTCAAAGTTAGCTGGAACAAGCCACCTTAAGCGTCACATTGCGTTGGGGATCTGTCCTATGAGTCGACAGAACAATCAGCTCACATTAACCCCCGAAACTAAGGATCGTAGCACAACTGGTCCTCCCAAAAAACGGCAGAGATCATCTGCTGGCTATACGAACATCCCCCTTGATCAAGATCGTTGTTACCATGAGATGGCAAAGATGATCATCATGCACGAATATCCCCTTCATATGGTCGAGCATCCGGGCTTTGCTGGTTTTGTGCAAACTCTTCAGCCCCAGTTCAATATGGCGAGTTTCAACACCATTCATGGTGATTGTGTGTCTATGTACTTGTCACAGAAGCAAAAACTTACAGACTTAATTGGGGAGATTCCTGGGCGAGTTAACCTCACCATAGACTTGTGGACATCAAATCAATCAGTGGGATATGCATTCTTGACGGGGCACTTTATTGACAGGGACTGGAACCTGACCTCCCATCTTCTGAATGTTCTTGTTGTACCTTCTCCTGATTCAGATTTTGCTTTGAATCAGCCAGTAGCGGCTTGCTTATCAGACTGGAACCTGGAGAGGAAGCTCTCCAGTCTTACTGTTGACCAGTCAGCGGTAAATAAAACTGCCATTGAAAATCTCAGAGGCTTCTTGTCTGTCAGGAACCCACATGTGTTGAATGGTCAACTGTTGATGGGAAGATGTTATGCTCGGCTCATAAGCAGTATGGCTCAAGATGCCCTCGGAGCTGAGGAGATAGAGAAGACCATCAAGAAAATTCGTGATAGCGTAAAGTATGTGAAAACCAGCGATTCTTGTGAAGAGAGGTTCTATGAAGTCAAGAGACAACTTCAAACCCCTTGTACAAAAGATCTCCTCATTGACGACCAAACGAAATGGAATACAACTTATAACATGTTGCTGTCTGCCTGGGAACACAAAGAAGTGTTTTCTTGTCTGGAAACCTACGATCCTGATTATAAAATAACTATATCTTCTGAAGAATGGAGAAAGGTAGAAATCATCTGCTCGTGCTTGAAGGTTCTCTTTGATGCAGCTAGTGTCTTGACTGGCCCAACGCATTTGACAGCGAATGATATGTACCATGAAATGACAAAGCTTCAACTAGCACTGAGCAACACTGCCATAAGTGAAGACCCTGATGTCAGAAACCTAGCAACCCCGATGAGGGAGAAATTTGACGAGTACTGGAGTCAGTGTTTCCTGGTTCTGGCTGTTGCTGTGGTCATGGATCCACGATTCAAGATGAAGCTTATTGAGTTCAGCTTCTCTAAGATGTATGGTGAAGATGCTGGGAAATGGATCAAGACTGTTGATGATGCTGTTCATGATCTGTATCATGACTATGCGGCACAGAATTTTCCTCTGTTGGATGCATATGTAGGCCACGGAAACCATGATGTTCCTGGATCAGAGATGTCTCAGGAAGTTCACTTTCATCAAGAACTGGCTCACGAACATCACCATGGGAATGGGATTTCACATGATCATGCTCACGAAGTTAATCTATATGGACAAGCTCAAAATGGCCATCTACAGAATGAACAGTCAAAACAAGACCACGTTTTGGAAATCCATGAGCCTCAAGAACCTCATCAGTCATATGCACAGCTTGAAGGACATGAACTGGCTGTGGAATCCCTGCCTCAGGAAGGTCAAATAGTAGAGGAACATTCTCAGGAAGACCAACAAACGGATAAACGTCCACAAGGAGAGCAGGCAACAGAATCAGTTTCTCGGGAAGATCAGTCCATTGAGGTTTTGCCGAAAGAGAGTCAGTCTTTGGAGGTGCAGTCTGGAGAAGGTCAACTATGTGAAACAGTGTCCACAGAAGTGCAATCGGTGGAAGTAGGCAAAGAAGACTTTGTAGTAGAGGCAGTTCCACAAGAGAACCAATGTGAGGAACGGCTGTCGTCGCAGGAGAACAGTCAATTGGAGGGAGCGACCCAAGAGAGGCAGTCCACACAAGAGGACCAACAAGCCAATGGGCAATTGACCCTGACTCAGGAGAGTCAGCAAACAGATGAACCATCCCAGGGGAGCCAACCGATGGAGGATATACCCGACAAGACCCAGCCTCAGGAGGAAATGCCACAGGAAAGCCAGCCAGCAGAGGATATATCACATGTGGGTCACCCAGTTGAGGAAATGGTGCAGGAGAACCTGTCAGGGGAAGATATGGCTCAGAACACTCAGCCTGTGGAGGATATATCTCAGGTGGATCAGCCAGTTGAGGAAGTGGGGCAGGAGAACCTGTCTGGGGAGGATATGACACAGGGCACTGAGCCTCAGGGGGATGAGCCAGTTGAGGATGTGGTGCAGGATAACCTGTCGGGGGAGGATATGACTCGAGACACCCAGCCTATGGAGGATATCCCTCAGGACCTTCAACCAGTAGAGGAAATGGGGCGGGAGAATCAGTCAGTGGTAGATGATATGGCTGAGGACACTCAGCCGATTGACGATATACCCTCGGACACTCAGCTGGTGGAGGAAACGGAGCAGGAGACACAACCGATGGAGGAAACGGTGCAGGAGACACAGCCAGTGGAGGAAATACATGAAGAACCACAGCCTCCAAAATCAGAGGAAGCTGAGACAGAAGAGCCACAGCCAATGGAGGATCTGCCTGAACTGCCTCAGCCAGGAGCATCACAACCAGCCGAGGTTCAATCACAAAGCCCTGAAAATGATGATGATGATGATGATGATGATAATGGTCTGCCCCAAGAGCCTGAACACACCGAGTCTCTGCCAGAAGAGCTGCAAGGTCTTGCCTCTGAGGAAATGCAAGCACGGCCTGAACAGAGCCACCACCACCATCATGAAGACCACTCATTTACCATTTCCCAAGAAGATAGCCATCAGGTTGACGTCCTTCTCCAGGAAGGCCACCACCTCGAGGCATCATCACATGACTTTCCTCTCATCACCATTGGAGACGGGTTCTCAGACTTTGAGCTCTACATCTCGGATATCAGCAGCCACCAGCAGATGAAATCAGAGCTCGACCAGTACCTGGAAGAATCTCTAATGCCTCGGTCTCAGGATTTTGACGTTCTGGGCTGGTGGAAACTGAACAGGACCAAATACCCCACCCTCTCCAAGATGGCGGCTGATGTTCTGTCCGTACCATTCTGCACCGTGGCTCCGGATTCTGTGTTCGACACCAAGATGAAGAAGATGGATTGTTACCGGAGCTCGCTCCGTTCGGTGACATTGGAGGCTCTGATCTGCGCCAAGGACTGGTTCAAGCACGGGTCTTCCCCTTCTAACGACAGCAGCGTGAAGAGGGAATGAAGCTTAAGGCTTTTTGGATGATATCACCTTAGAGTTGCTTATCGGTTATATTCGTCTAGTTCCTATGATAAAGTTTTTTAGGGTTTGATCGACTTCTTTGTTGTGAAACCCCTCCCTTAGGTTTACCGCTATTATGTATTCGCATCTTCTGTGATTTGGTGGATATGATTACTTAGCATCTGAGTGAGAGATATGTGGGTTTGCATTTCATAAGCAATTTTTTTTTATAAAAAAAATGTGGTTGGGTGAAAGCATATTATAATATTTATACGTGTAATCGTTTGTAATAATGTTTATCGTATGTCTCGTAGCGTTGATGGTTGCAGATTTGGATTCGGAGGAACCCTAGGGAAAGTCTTCCCATCTGAATATTGGGGTGAATATTTTAGCGTGGATGGCATTTTTCTTCTTCTCGTTTTTGTCTTCCACAAGAAAAGGCGATGTGAACAATGTTCTTCCATTTATTCGTACGGTGACATCTAAATTGACCTCTCTGTTTGGTTTTTTTCTTATCCTTCGTGGACCAATGTTAAAGTTGCTTGCTGTTAGAGATTCTTTTGATTATTATTACTATTGTCGTTGTTGTTGTTGTTTTTTGGATAATTTAAAAATTAACCGCGTATTCGGGTTAACTATATCATCGCTAAATCCATATGGATGCACGATTCGAACTTGGATTGAGAAAGAAAGAGTTTTAATTCATGTCTTACCAATTGAGCTGCCCGATATTATTGTTGTGGTTGATATTACATATATATAGTGTAGTGTAGTCCGGTGTAGTGTAGATAGATTGTTTGTTTGTCCATCGTATATAATAAGCTTAAAGACGCATATGATAATGACAATGGGTTACATTTTTTTGTTTTGTTAATGACATATTTTATAATTTCGGATAGACATTAATGAATATCAAAGAAGAAGGATTTCCCTCGCGTGCTTTTTGTGTTGGTTTTGCAGATATCAAGTAGGTGAAGGCTCGGGAGACCTACCACCCACAACGCCAATTTTTTTTTTCCAAAAATTTAAATTTCCCATTTTAATAATTACTGGTCCACCAGCCGATATAGGGAATAGTTTTTATGGTTATGAATCAGTTGAGCGTTTACATATATAGATATAATGGCGAATGTCCTAATAGGAGAAACGAAAGCGTAGGGGCTTATGCAGTGGCCAGTGAGTGTTTTATTTACCTAATATTTCTCGGCATTAAAGAAAAAACGATTAAATTAGCATATGGCATGGGTCGCTCTCAGTACCAAAACGGGTTTTGAGCCGTAGAAATCTAAAGAGAGACAGTGAGAGTAATCCCGACACCCAAGTAGGCCCACCACGTTCCCTGTGTGCCACGTGGCGCAATCTCAACGGTCATATCTCTCTCTATAGCTCCGCCCCCCGGTCGCTAGTCCATTTGCATGGGGGAGATGTTCTGTTTTCATATAAAATGTCACCATCCATTTCACATGTATTTTATTTTCTCCACGGGAGAGAGAGAGAGAGAGAGAGAGAGAGAGATTGTGTGTTAGCGAGAAGGAGAGGCCAGGATTGCTCATAAATCCGCGAGGAAAGTGTAAACCCATCCAAAACCCTTATCTCTCTATCTCTTTCCTCTTCCCCTACCCCCCCCCCCCCCCCCTCTCCCC